AAAAAAAAAAAAAACTTAAAAAAAACGACTATTGGTCTGATAAAGATTTTGAACCTTTCCACCAGAACAGTTCTCCCCACATTTTGGTATAAGGACTTTTATTTAACCACTGCCTTTTTTCAGCACATTCATTTAACAAGTACTTCTTGAGTGCCCACCGAGTATCAGGAACCATTCGAAGTTCAGGGTTCAACACTAGGACCCCTCATCTACCTCTCTCTCCTGCTCCTCCTACCCCCACCCACCTCATTCCTGGAAAGTCCAGCAGAGAATTTCAGAGTCTCCTACTTTGCAGTAAAGTCTGGATTACAAACCTTGCCCTAAATAACAGTAGTTCTCTTTTTTTTTTTTTTTAAAGATTTTATTTAGTTATTTGAGAGAGAGAGAATGAGAGAGAGCGAGTACATGAGAGGGGGGAGGGTCAGAGGGAGAAGCAGGCTCCTTGCTGAGCAGGGAGCCCGACGTGGGACTCGATCTGGGACTCCAGGATCATGACCTGAGCCGAAGGCAGTCGCTTAACCAACTGAGCCACCCAGGCGCCCCCCAACCTTTTTATGTATCCCAGACATCTCTGAAAATCTGGCTAAAGTATAGTCCCTTTTTCCAGAATAATGTACATATACATCACACTTTTCAGGCAATTTCAGGGATTCATAGGTTCTTCCAAATCCTGAAGTTAAGAAATGTCCCATAAGAAAAACAAGATAAAGAACAGTCAACAACAGTAGCAACTCCTTATTTCCCGCTCTGGTATTAGTCCTAAATTTTCCTATTTTCCTAAATTTTCAGACCAAATTATTTCAAAGCAATAGCTTTGATCATTTGTGCCTTGAATACACCTCCTCAGCATACTTAAATGAAACAACAGTTCTGGGAGGATTTCTTCTTTTAGCTCCCTCATCGGTGAGAATGAGCTACAGAAGACAGAAGGAGCGCAGTCACACCTCAGTACGAATAATGTACTGACTGACATTTGAAACTCAAAATTATTCTTTACAACCTCCCTTTTGATGCCCAAGTACCAAACTGGTTCCCCACCAAGTAGTCAGCTCTGGTGCTCAAGGATTCAGAAGAGGCTCTGAAGGAGTTCACGTAGGACTGCCCCGCGGTAGCACAGGATGACAGTGTACAGGGCAGCCGGAAACCTCTGGAAGGCTCTTGAGAGAATCTCTTACACTGCTAAGTCCAGAGCCCTACACAGCCAGGAGAGCTTGCCAAATGCCTTAGACTCAGACCTTACACGGGAAGCACATGACGTGGGGTCCAGCTCTGGCTCTGAGAACTGGGTGCTCTTGTTGACCGCCCCCCCCGCCCCCCCCACCGCCATACTGCCTAGGGGCAATCTGGCATTCCTGAAGGTAGAGAGAAACATGTACCGGAGCCACTTGTACCACTTGAAGCTGTATGTGCTGAGGTTGCTGAAGACCAGATGTCGACTGGGACACAGGAATATACTGAATTCTCTGGTAGTCCCCCTGCGACGTTCGGTAATCGGTTGTTAAGGTCTGGGACAGCTCTGTCATGGCTTGGGTTAGGAGGTCTGTTGTCTAGAAAAGTCACAAAAAACACACTAGCTGGTAACACTACAGCTTGTACAAATTAGCCCTGAGCTCAGATAGGAGAGATCCAAAGGCGAGAAGATGCTGGAGGATTACGTATGTCTGTATCCACCTGTCTGTGTCAGCCCCGATGGCGTTACCCGACAGGTTCTGACCATCTTGCAGCACAGGAACGGCACTGAACATTTCTTGCTGCTCCTTCTACAGACAGCTTTGGAAAGCATCGACTAGGAGACCAACCACACACAGAAGGCCCTGGTAGAAAACCGAGGGATAATGGGCTACCTTTTGCAGCCAATTATATGGCAAGATGGACGTGGCTTTGGTATCGGAAGCCGTGACGGGCACGGAAGGGGATGAGGTGCCCTGACCAGTCACATACTTACCACCACGGTCTCCCCAGTAGCACTGTCTGTGGTTAACACAGCCGGGGCAGCACTGATCACAGCTGTCGTCAGCGGTGGATGTAAGGTGTTAGGGAGCTGGGCATACTCTGGGTGCTTCTTTCGAATGTGCTGTACCATCTTGGTCTGGAAAAGTATGGCAAAACCAAGAATCATTACTGGAGTTAGTTATCTGCAATTTTTCTCAAACACAAACCCTGCCACGATCCCTGAAGTCTTTCTGGTTTTGCTTTGAAAGAAATAAGGTGTGCCCGCTCCTCCCAGAGCAGCACAGAGTTTGCAAGAGGCAAAGGAAGAGGCTGAGAAGAAACTGAATACACATGTGACCCCAGGCAAGGTCAGCACACCTCACTCACAGTATCCCCTAGCCCCCCCCAATACCTGCAGCGATCAATCACAAGTTCTCCGCCTCCCACAACCAAGAATGACCCCCCCCTTTTCAAGATCTATCATGTAAGTTCCCACATTGTGCTTCTGTAAACCTGAGCTCATAAAGCATGAGCATAAAGTATTCCAATATGAGACCTTCAGCAGACCAAAGAAAAGGAAACCAACTGAGCGCTCCGGTTATGTGTGAGATACACTAACTCTGGGGAAATTCCACTTATTCTCTTCCCATTCTGGATTTATAATCCCTATCCTCAGGAAACAGCTCCTCAGCCATCGGAACTGGACAAAACACCTCCAGCAGTCCTGCATCAATTCAGAAGAAGCCAAATGCCACCTTCTCTTATGAGATGCCTTAAACAATGACCTTGATCCGGACGCAGTCAAAGCCCTTCCCGTACCTTGCTGCTGTACTGTTTGGAGCAGTGAGGGCAGCACACGGGAGGGGTAGCTATTGTGCCCGTGAGCTGGGTGTGGGTGCTCAGCATGGGGTCTGGCTCTCCTGGGCCAGCTGGACGGAGTTTGCGAATGCTTGGTGGGAGCTCAGCCCCTGGATGGTTCTTCAGAATATGGGCTTTTCGTTTGCTGGCACTTTTATAAACCTGCAAATTCAAATGCTTTGTCATGAAAGCAGTACACGGTTCTACTTTCTTACTTAAGAGCGAAATCTCTAACAATTCTGTTGTTAGGTATGAGAAAGGAGAAAAAGTATTCAGGTAGCGTAAAATAAAATATTTTAACAGCTATATTGAAGGATATCTAAAATAAGAACCTAATGTAGATGTGCTAGGCATCTTCCTAGAATTTATACATCTAAGATAGTAATAATAAAAATACCCCTTACCTTGAAGTTTAAGAGGTAGATACACAGTCACAGAAAAAGAATGTTTCAAAGGCCAATTCATCCCACTTAGCCTTTCTACAAAAGCTCTCATATGTTTACTAGTACTAGATGCCAAAGAATCCTCCAAAATGGCAAGTCTAAAAGTGCCTAGTACCTGTAATGGTGAATCTATGCTTTAAAAAGTTTCCCAGTTTTGGGGCGCCTGGGTGGCTCAGTCGTTGCGTCTGCCTTAGGCTCAGGTCATGATCCCAGGGTCCTGGGATCGAGCCCCGCATC